TCACATATGTAAATCCTAGGCCAATCTGATACTCGCAAGTAGTTCTATTTCAGTTATCTTAACATATTTAGCTAAATAGTCTTTGAATTTCTTCCATTCCTCTTGGTACTCCTCCTCCTTCTGGTCGCAGACTCTTCCGGTCAGGTCGGCTAGCTCCCAAAAGTCCATCATCTTCATCTGCCATTCCTCCACTGTTGGTACTTCTTGTAATTGCCAATTTTTGGCCAACAAAATTCTAGCTTAGGTTTGCACTATCAATGTAGAATAAAATGCTTGGATGCCCCAGTACAACAAATCCTGATGGGACTGTTTCCCCATGATCTCAGCTTCTCTTAGATCATTCCCAAAATTATTCCTGGTCTGGTCTGTTCTCGTATGAACAAGAAAGGGTTCTGGGTCACAATAAGAATTAAGAAGTCTGGGAAGGATTACAAAATGAAGCCCAAAGTTCGGCAAATGCAAGAAAAAGCAGTGGATATATCACATTCCGTGCACTGTTTCTGGGACTCCTGTGAGTTTTTCTGTTGCTTCTTAACAATATGCATAAGACCATACATCCGCCATTCACAAGCGCTAAAGGGAGAACACATTTCTATAAATGACCATATACACCTGCCATCTTGGTCTGAGGCTGAACGCTTGTTGCATGCGGATACATATATATCTGGATTGGGGCTCTTATTATTATTATAATCTTCTTCTTCTTCTTCTTCTTCTTCTTCATTTTATGCTGCAATCTCTATTAATGCCCTTAGGTTAACGTGTGAGGAAAAAGCACTTCAGCAGTTTTGCTTCCCGTTTGGAGTTCTTTTCACACATCATAAGAAAGCATACAGAGATTGGAAAAGAGCTTATTTAGAAGAAAACAAGGAGTTGAGCAAGGAGCAGGGAAGGTCTGCTGACCCAGAGCTGGACCCTGTGACTATTTTCTTCTTGTGCCCCCTTCGATGGGAAGTCCAGAGAATGGCAACACAAGAACAGGCCTTTTCGGTGGTGGCTCCCCCGCCCCCGCTTGTGGAATGCTCTGCCCACGAAGGCTCACCTAACACCACCTTTATCTGTTTTTTAGGCTCCAGGCAAAAAGTTCCTTTTTACCTGGCCTTTTGGTTCTGAAGGTTTTTAAGTACTATTAGTGGGGTGAGTTCTGTAAGCCTGGGCTTTATTTGTATGGGGTGTTTGTTTGTTTGTTTGTTTGTTTGCTGTAATTGGTTTTATTGTTAATACTGTGTGGCTGTTGTGTAAGTCACTTTGAGTCTTTTTAGTTGGCAAAGCGATTAATTTACTACTACTATTATTATTATTATTATTATTATTATTATTCACTAAATGGAAATACAGTGGTTCTTTGTATTTGCACATTCCTGTATTGGCCTCTGGAAGATGAAGGTGTCTGTGTTTCTGTGTAAAAGCATACTCTCCCACCTTTCTCAGATGAAAATAGGTACATCCTATTATTATTATTATTATTATTATTATTATTATTATTATTATTATACCCCACCCATCTGACGGGGTTGCCCCAGCCACTCTGGGCGGCTTTCAACATATATAAAAACATAATAAAACATTAATCATTTAAAAACTTCCCTATACAGGGCTGCCTTCAGCTGCCTTCTAAAGGCTGTATAGTTAACTGATCTCCTTGGCTTGGGGGGGGGGTCACATAATTCAATACCTCCCAACATTTCTCTGATGAAAATAGGGACATCCTGAGATCAAATCAGAAACTAGGATGTGTCTGTAAATCCAGGACTGCCCCTGGAAAATAGGGACACTTGAAGGGTCTGTAAAATAAATCAACTTAGCCCATCCCCAACTTGATTCCTGTGTTCAGTGGTGGAGGGCATATCCACACACAGTCCAGAGTAGCCCTGACATCACAAAGAAAGATGATGATGATGATGATGATGATGATGATTACCTATACCCCGCCCATCTGGCCAGGCCTCTCCAGCCACTATGGACGGCTTCAAACAGAATATTAAAAAATAACAACAATAAAACATCAAAAACTTCCCTAAACAGGGCTGCCTTCAGATGTCTTGTAAAAGTCAGATAGTTGTTTATTTCCTTGACATCTGATGGGAGGGCGTTCCACAGGGCGAGCGCCACTACCGAGAAGGCCCTCTGCCTGGTTCCTTGTAGCCTCACTTCTCGCAAGGAGGGAACCGCCAGAAAACCCTCGGAGCTGGAACTCAGCATCCGGGCAGAACGATGGGGGTGGAGACGCTCCTTCAGGTATACTGGGCCGAGGCCATTTAGGGCTTTAAAGGTCAGCAAAAACACTTTGAATTGTGCTCGGAAATGTACTGGGATAGAAATCGGTGCCCAAATTGTGCAGCCAGACTTGTCTAAGTGTTGTCCCTAGCAGGGAAAAGACATGCTTTTGGGCGTAGCTTCAGGCAGCAAACCATCTTCGGCAAGCACCACAGTCAGCACCTTCCTTCCTTCCTTCTGCATCTTTTCCCAAAAATCTGTATCAGCAACACTTGTTTGCTAAAGCTAGATGAACTTCCTGGTTATTAGGACTCGCCATTATGTTCCAGACCACTAAATTATTGGCTCTTAATGCTGTGACTCAGAGAGTGGCTCTGCCAAATGACTCGGTGATCTTCTCTTCTAGCTAAGCCAGCCTAGCTTGTAATTTGAGGAGTCCAAAAGGGATAATAACAACGCTGCTTGTCGTGTGGCTTAACACCGACTGCACAAAACAATTCACCGCATTGGCTTCCGTTAAAAACACAGGGAATGGCGACTTATTGATACCTGGGCAGTGCCCATACACGGGAACTCCTCTTAACTGATACTTTTCTTCATCTATGTTTACTATGCGTTGGTGATGGTGATTGTTAAAAAGCAGTTTGAGCGTGTGCTCTGTCTTATCCAGAAGTAGGTCGCCTGAAGTGATTTTTGCTGAGTATAAAATTACAAGACTGGCTTCATAATAATACTCTTTGCTTGATTTAGCGAACCATTGGCATAGTAACTGCTTGGTTTGATGTTAAAATAAGGAACCCTGCCAGGCTGGACTTCATCTTAAGTCTACAAGGCACAACCTTTTTTTTTTTGTCCCCAATTCTTGGCTGCTGAGAGGTTTACTGTCTCTGAGCTTCTGTTACCTGTTATGACTTATCAAGTTGCCCAGAAAGAACTGAGAGTCCTTGAACTGAAAAAGGTTCCCCAACTCTGGCATAGAAATAAGTGCTGGAAGTATACAAATGTTTCTATTTTCCCTCATGAAATACTGACGGGTAAGTTAAACAACACTTTCTGCATTTCCCAGAAACAACTGAAGACATTTCTGGATGAATATAGGTCTCTGCCATGGGTGTCTCCCTTGTACAGTGGTACCTCAGGTTACATACGCTTCAGGTTACAGACTCCACTAACCCAGAAATAGTGCTTCAGGCTAAGAACTTTGCTTCAGGATGAGAACAGAAATCGCGCAGCAGCAGCGGGAGGCCCCATTAGCTAAAGTGGTGCTTCAGGTTAAGAACAGTTTCAGGTTAAGAACGGACCTGCAGAACGAATTAAGTACGTAACCAGAGGTACCACTGTATTGTTTTTATCTGCTTTCTGTGCTGTTTTTAAAACTGATTTTTAAAGCTGTTTTTATTCCATTTTGCCTTGAGAAGTGCTATATATTTTTCTAGGAAAAGAGGTGCTGGGACTCAGCATGAACGCCTCCCTCATTCTCTTAGAACGGCAATGGCGCCCATCTGAGAGGGGCCGGTTCTGGCGAGTTCCAGCTTGGGCGGGGAGGAGGCCTGGCCTTTAGACACATGTGTCAAAGACAATCAATGAATGAATAAGTTAAATGTAGGACTAAGGTTTTATTTATTTATGTAGAACAATTGCACTTGATGCACCACACTTCAAATCAAATAAATGCATTTATGTACCACACTAGGAAGGAAGGAAGGAAGGAAGGAAGGAAGGAAGGAAGGAAGGAAGGAAGGAAGGAATAATGCATATAGTAATAATGTATATACAACAGGTGCTTCTTTGCACCTGGTCCAGGAAACAAGCAACAATAGGCACAAGCGACGGTATTAAAAGTTTATTTACGCAGTTGAGATGCAAATCCTCTTATACAGTATCAGGAAGTTTTTTTAAAAAATGTTTTCTAATGTTTTTATATGTGCTGGAAGCCACCCAGTCTTATTCCAACGTTGTTGCGTGTTGAGGTCCCCAAGCTACCCTCCTAAATAAATCACAATTCACACAGAAAATTTTGTTTAAGGTTTTTGGCATAATTTTGGCCGGGGGTGGGGTGGAAAATCAAACAGGAAAAAAGGGGAAATAAATTAATAAAGGGGCTGGGGAGGATTAGAAAGAAGGGGGACATAAAGAAATGTAACCAGACAATGAGAAGATCGCTCCACTGTCCTCCAAACGGTCAGAGTGCTCCAGGTGACCCGGTGCACGCAGCAAAAGAGAACACTCAATGCTGTGTGCTCAGTACAGTGGTACCTCGGGTTACAGACGCTTCAGGTTACAGACTGCGCTATCCCAAAAATAGTACCTCTTTGCTTCAGGGTGAGAACAGAAATCGTGCTCCGGCAGCGCGCCGGCAGCGACAGGCCCCATTAGCTAAAGTGGTACCTCAGGTTAAGAACTGTTTCAGGTTAAGAACGGACCTCCAGAAGGAATTAAGTTCTTGACCCGAGATACCACTATATATAAAACCCTTGGTCCATCCCACAAATGGGCAACATCAAAATTTCCAAGGTAACTCAAACAGCCCAATCACTGCTATGGCCATCTATGATCCCGCACATCAAAGAGGGGTGTCCTGTTAGCCCCCACCTCAACACGTGCACTCCATGAAGGAGAACACGCTTGCGAATGTCCTTTGGAAGCCGAACGTCCGACACTGAGTGCAGGAAGCTCCTGCAGCCAATCGGAAGCCGCCCCTTGCCCCCCCCCTTCTAGAACCCACCACTCTCAACGAACTCTCAACTGCCTCCCCTGCAACATTCAAACTCGCTTTCAAAGCCTGAAAGGACCCTGCTGTACTGCTGTACTCTTTCTACAACAGTCTCCGCTGTGACTGAGTTTCCCAAAGGTGAGAGCCTGGAAGCTACAATCCCCAGGATCATTTGGGGGACATCATGTGCTTAAAATGCTCATTAGATGCACTTTCTATATATATCTATATATTTATCTGGAACTCCTCCAACCAATCAGACTAACTGAGCTTGCTTCTTCCTTAGGAAAGAGGCAGGCCAGAACAAAGGGGGAAAGGCTCCCACCTCAGGTAAGTGGAAATACCAATTGAATGCCCTATATTATAGGAATGTCCCCCACTCTCATGTGCCAGACTGCTGCTAGCATGGCTAGGAGCCAGGCGTTTGCTGATTCCTTCATTTTCTTTGCAGGGAGGGAGCCTTTCCCCAATGTGTACTTTGTTCTGGCAAAATCCCTGGAGAGACCATCAGTTACTTTGGCAGAGGGAACGAAGGGATCCTTTTGAAACATGTTTTGGGAGTCCTAGAAACACTCTCCCCACCTGTGGCTTCCAGGAAGTGCTTTTCAGAAACATTGCTCCCTCCAACTGGGTTGCCTTGCATAACCCTCTGCACCATGCAATTGTCTCACCCTCTTTGAATGCCACCTCATCCGAGATGCTCTTGTGGGGCATCTGATTGTCCTTGGCTTCCACTACAGGATTGCCAGGTGAAATATACTCGGAGTCGAGAATAGATTTCATGCTCTTTTTTTGTTGTTTAGTCGTTTAGTTGTGTCCGACTCTTCGTGACCCCATGGACCAGAGCATGCCAGGCACTCCTGTCTTCCACTGCCTCCCACAGTTTGGTCAAACTCATGTTGGTCGCTTCGAGAACATTGTCCAGCCATCTCGTCCTCTGTCGTCCCCTTCTCCTTGTGCCCTCCATCTTTCCCAACATCAGGGTCTTTTCCAGGGAGTCTTCTCTTCTCATGAGGTGGCCAAAGTATTGGAGCCTCATCTTCAGGATCTGTCCTTCCAGTGAGGACTTGGGCTGATTTCCTTCAAGAATGGATAGGTTTGATCTTCTTGCAGTCCATGGGACTCTCAAGAGTCTCGTCCAGCACCATAATTCAGAAGCATCAATTCTTCGGCAATCAGCCTTCTTTATGGTCCAGCTCTCACTTCCATACATCACTACTGAGAAAACCATAGCTTTAACTATACAGACCTTTGTTGGCAAGGTGCTGTCTCTGCTTTTTAAGATGCTGTCTAGGTTTGTCATTGCTTTTCTCCCAAGAAGCAGGAATGGAAGTTCCCCCAGAATGTCTGCTTTATATACATTATTTACACAATGGGCCCCACATGATTGGCTAATTCCGGGATTCTCCTGTAGGCCAATCAGGTTGCGGATTCACTTCCACCTGGAGCTGGATTGGGTGGCTCCTGCGGACCAATCAGACTGCTGCATTCTGAATCCTATTGTTCTAGGACCAATCAGACTGCTGCATTTTGGATCCTATTCAACTCAGTACATAACACCAGGATTCTCCATGACAGTCAACGTGGAGAGAGAAGCCTTTCAATATTTGGTGTGGCTAAGACAGCTGAATGTGCACCCATTCTCATATGATGTCCTTCTTCCTCCACAGGGTCACACCTCCAGGGATGAGGCTCCAGCTCCAGCCCCTGGGAAGAAGAACCGGACAACATCCTGGCGGTTCCTGGCTGATGTCCCTCGCAACGCTTCCCCACTGCCCCTTCTCCAAATGGGCATGGCTCCTTCCCGGCCCGGTTTGGCGCAGAAGCAGCAGCCTCCCATTAAAACAGCTTATCGGGTTATTTCTGAGAGGGAGGAGACTTTGGCTGCTGTTTCTGTGCTAGGCCGGTTGGGACCGAGCTGAGACGCCCATACAGAGGAGAAGTGGGGAGCACTTATAAGATCAGGTAGGAGGAAATGCCCCTTCCCAGGTCCCCCACCCTCCTGCCCCAGACTGGGGCTAGCGTGGCTGGGAGCCAGCTGTCTGCTGATGTCTCCGTTTCCTTTGCAGCGAGGGAAAAGTTCAGCCGGAGAACTGCCGCATTCCAGGAGGGACTGGAGCCCAGACTACGGCCTCTCGCCTCTGAGGTAATGGGACAGGGGGGAGGAGGGGGGCCTTAGGAAACACACCAGAAGGGCCTGCAGGATCAGGCCAAGGGCTCACCTGGTCCAGCCTCCTCTTCTCCCAGGGCCCACCCAGATGCCCCTGTGAAAGCAGCAAACAGGATTTGAGCCCAAGAAGCAGTGCATAGTGTTGAGTTCTCCTGCTCTTCAAAGATCCCTTCTTTTTTGCAGGATCTCCTGTCTGTACCGCTGTGGTTGCTGTCCAAGCCTCCCCCAAAAAGACCAGATAAGAGGAAGGGAACCTTTGCATGGGGCAGGGAGAACACCCTACAAGTTGAGCGTACGCGTTCATGCTCTGGGTGCATTTCTTTAAAAAGGCATACACTGATAAGGTGGGTTTGGGGTCTGGGGGCCTTCCTACAGGGGTTGCTTGACTACAACTCCCATTGTCCTTGACCACTGTCCTTTCCCCCCTTCTTTTTTTTATAAAAAACACAGCTTGAGGATTCCCCAGTGATGCCGGCTGGCGGAAGGAAGAGGCATTGGGTGACGGTGCAAAGAAAAAATTCCAGAGCGTTTGGATCTCAGCTGAAGGACTGTATTCCGGTTTCTGATTTTTCAGCTGCTAAAGCATATGAAAGCTGTGATGTGATAAATAGAGGCTTTACAAATGTGTAGGGCGAACTTTCCCCTGTTCATCCTTTGGTCATACCGGATTGTTATGTACTGAAGTTCTCACCCTGGGCCAGCAGGGGGATACTGTAGATAGTTTTCACTCAGGTCCACATATGCAAATAGGGGGTTGAAAGTGATGTTCAGTGATTGGATAGTTACAGAAAATGGTTACAGTTGCGTTGTAGTGGAGCTCTATATAAGCAGGCTGGCTGAACCCTTCAGTTCAGTTCTATTCTGGCCTGTGAATAAACAAGAGCTGTTTGAAGAATCGCTGTGTCATCTGATATGTTCACCCACAACTTAACACGGATAATTTTGTTGTTAAATCAAGATAAGATGAATTTTTCTACTCTGAGAAATATTCAGGGGCTGCATGCACCGCTGAAGCTGCAAATGGAATTCCAAGCAGTGAAGCAGGTCCAGCGTCCTCCTTTACTTCCTAGTTCTAACTTGTCCCTGGATATCTGGAAAGGCAACTGTGACTGCCTTGGTTTTGAGGATATTCTGAACGACCCGGCACAGAGGGAAGGAATGGGAGATCCTCATCTTTTGGTTGAACACAAACTTGGTTTATTATAATGCGCACATACTCCATCCTTCTGTTCATGAAAATGTTTCTTACCTGTATCCCTGTGGGTTTAAGTAAATTGTATAAACAGTAGTTGTACAGCACTTGTTTTGATACACACAATCTCTCACCTACCTTGATAAAAACAAGGCACATTAAATGCTTAAATATATTACTTTTGTTCTGTGTTTACTGTCAGTACAAATGTCTTGTAACTGGGTATTTTTTAGTAAAATCGGGAAATATCTCCATTCAGGGCAATTACTGTTTCATGTCTGCAACTGTGGAACTGTAGACATTAAAAAGTCTATAGAAAGGGGACATTTTAGATTGAATGTTCTTGTTCTTTGCCATATATAACCCAGGTATTTGCTGTTTAATCTTTCTTTCCTTGTGCCTTAATTACTTGACATGCCATCTTTTAAAAACAATGAGTAAAATTTTCTATAAATGCAACAAACAAAACAAACAAACAAAAAACCCGAGCTCCCCACTGGGGCAACCTAAGCTCTGAAGAGTTCAGGCTGTCTCAATTTGGGAAATGAGCCGTGGCAGTAGAAGGAGAGATCAGCTCATCGGCACACAGCCTCTAAGACTGTCCCCAGAGTGAGAAAACTTCCCAAATTAAATCCAAATAAGGAGAGAGAATTCAAAGAATTACAGTATTTTTTGCTCTATAAGACTCACTTTTTCCCTCCTAAAAAGTAAGGGGAAATGTGTGTGCGTCTTATGGAATGAATGCAGGCTGCGCAGCTATCCCAGAAGCCAGAACAGCAAGAGGGATTGCTGCGCAGCGATCCCTCTTGCTGTTCTGGCTTCTGAGATTCAGATTGTTTTCCTCCTCCAAAAACTATGGTCTGGTGCATCTTATAGAGCGAAAAATACGGTAGTGGGACAACTTTTGAAAAGTGTCTGTGAAATAAGGGAGTCCACTCTAGAGCTGGTCAGAACCGGGTGGGGAAAATCGGACTGCAAAGAACTGGGTACAACTAAACCTTAAGTCTCAGAGCATCTGGGCATAGAAGGAATCAAAGAATTGTAGAGCTGGAAGGGACCACAAGGATCATCTAGTCCAACCCCCTGCAATGACGAACCCCACCTTGGGCAAAAGATTTCTGCAATGCAGGGGGTTGGACTAGATGACCCCCGGTGTCCCTTCCAACTCTACAATTCTTTGTTTCTAATACAAATGCTGCGAATGGCATGTATCTGAGAGGCTGCGATGACCCACTAAGTTGCATCCTGCAGTGATAAATGCCTCACCCTGAAGAGAGACTGCTTCCCATCACTCATTTAGAACTCTAAGGGTTGGACAACCAGGAGCAGGAAGAAAAGGGACGCGGGTGGCGCTGTGGTCTAAACCACTGAGCCTAGGGCTTGCTGATCAGAAGGTCGGTGGTTCGCATCCCTGCGACGGGGTGAGCTCCTGTTGCTCAGTCCCTGCTCCTGCCAACCTAGCAGTTCGAAAGCACGTCAAAGTGTAAGTAGATAAATAGGTACCACTCCGGCGGGAAAGTAAACGGCGTTTCCGTGCGCTGCTCTGGTTCGCCAGAAGCGGCTTAGTCATGCTGGCCACACGACCTGGAAGCTGTATGCCGGCTCCCTTGGCCAATAAAGCGAGATGAGCGCCGCAACCCCAGAGTCAGCCACGACTGGACCTAATGGTCAAGGGTCCCTTTACCTTTACCTTTAGCAGGAAGAAAGTAAAGAAAAATCTGTTCCAGGATCTGTTTACTTATTACTGCTCTGCATGGGCACCAGGGCACACGAGCAATCAGGAGTCTCTCAGCCTCACTCACCTCACAGAGTGTTTGTTGTGGGGGAGGAAAGGAAAGCGGGATATTAAGTCCAAACTCTTCATCTTCTTCTTCTATAGCAACATCCCCTGGGATGAGCAGGTTAGCATCCACTGGATCTCTAGCTGAGCCAGGAGGTTCCTGGAGCAGCTGGACTACACAGGCTTAACTCCCTTATCCTCAGCTCAGCAGGAGAGAATCTGGTGTACGGTATCTCCCTCAGCCTGGCTTAGCCAGAACCCAGACAACTGAGATGAGTTTGGCTGATCTGAAACGGGCATAAGCCCTGAAAGAGGGTGGGACTTAGGCAGGATCCTAGGCCTATTAACAGACCCAGCAACTCAGTGTAACTCAAGCACAATAACTCAAGCAGTGTAACTCAAGCATTGGAGGCAATAGATGTACTCCCCCGCCCTTTATTTGTTTGTTTTGTAGCAAAAGAAATTATATTTCTATGCTGCTTTTCATTCACATGAATCGCAAAGTGGCCTACAAACAATAAATAACAATGACGTAATAGAACATCACAAAAGCAACATAAATCTTGTGTACAGGATTAGTCTCCATGCGGATGAGCCTCAGTGCTGGGAGAACAGCTGAGTTTTGTTTCACTTTCAAAGCATCTCTGCTTCTCACTACATACCAAGCAGAGATCTTTGTTTAAAAACAAACTCTTAGTCAGTTTTCTAATAAATTGGCTTATAACCCTGACTCGTGAAGCTGGTTCCTCCGCTGATAATATATGTTATAAGGGGGGTGTAGGGATAGGGTAGGACCACAATCAGCAACTGGAATACCCGAAGATGCTGTTTTCAACAAGAAAAAAAGGAAAGGAGCAGAAGTGAAAACCAGACCTGAAGTCATTTCCTCTGATCTGAAAACCCAAATTGGCCCAATCACAGTCATGGCCATCCAAACGGTCCCGCCCTGTACCAGAGGGGGTATCCTGTTTGACCCCACTGCGACATGTGCTCTCCATGAAGGAGAACACGCTTGCGAATGTCCTTTGGAAGCCGAACGTCCGACACGGCTTCCAACTGAGTGCAGGAAGCTCCTGCAGCCAATCAGAAGCTGCCCCTTGCCCCCCCCTTCTAGAACCCACCACTCTCAACAAACTCTCAACTGCCTCCCCTGCAACATTCAAACTCGCTTTCAAAGCCTGAAAGGACCCTGCTGTACTGCTGTACAGTCTCCGCTATGACTGAGTTTCCCAAGGTAAGAGCCTAGAAGCGACAATGCCCAGGATCATTTTGGGGATATCATGTGCTTTAAATGCTCATTAGATGCAATTTAAATCATAGGATCATAGAATTGTAGAGTTGGGAGGGACCCTGAGGGTCATCTAGTCCAACCCCCGGCAATGCAGGAATCTCAGCTAAAGCATCCATGGCAGATGGCCATCCAACCTCTGCTGAAAAACCTTCAAGGAAGGAGAGTCTACTGTCTTCCAAGGGATTCCTTTGAAATATTGACCGGGCTGCATGGTGTGGCTCTCATATCCATGTCCTGAGAGACAGAGAGCAAAACATTTCTCTCTCCCCTTTCTCCACCCCATGCAGAATTGCAAGGGGGCAGTGCATCTGGCTGGGAAGAAGATGGTCAGAGTTTGGAGCCCAGCCAGGGCTGGCTGTGGGCAGGATCCTGGCATTGCCGGGGGTTGGACTAGATGACCCACAGTGGCCTCATCCCAGCACACTTTGACCGCCACCCCTTGATTTTATTTCTATTAATTGAGCTGGCTGACAACCCAGCAGCCTGGCCCCTGTTTGCCAGCTGATGTCACAAAGTGCTGCTTTGCAAGCAAGCCTTATAGTGCCCTGCAAGAGGGATGCCTGTCAGATGACGGTGAGAGACTTGAGACAGTTTATCATCACTCTGATGATCAAATGGATTCTGAAGGTAGGAGGCCCAGAGGAGATGAGTGGCATTATTATTATTGTTGTTGTTGTTGTCACCCACCATTGGTACATGTGGCTTACCTTGTTCACAGATGTCAGTTTGGCAGGTCCTCAGCTGTGGTCCCCCGGTTATATTTTCTGTTGTGATGATCTGGTTGCCTACAAGGTTGAACCATGTGGCTTTTCTTAACTCTAAGGCTGTGTACACATCACACCTTGAAGTCTTGGCGTGCCAAGAATATATAGCCTTCGGGCCAACCCTCTAAATGGTAACATCAAAATCTCCCCAACAACGCAAATTGGCCCAATCACAGTCATGGCCATCCAGACGGTCCTGCCCTGTAACCAAGAGGGGGTGTCCTGTTAGACCCCACCGCAACAAGTGCTCTCCATGAAGGAGAGCAGGCATTATCCCAAGCATAACCTCACAGCTAAGAACCCGGAAGAGTTTCTTGGCCATACTTCCATATCAGAGCCAGTGTGGTGTGGTGGTTAAGAGCGATAGACTCATAATCTGGGGAACCGGGTTCGCATCTCCGCTCCTCCACATGCAGCTGCTGGGTGACCTTGGGCCAGTCACACTTCTTTGAAGTCTCTCAGCCCCACTCACCTCACAGAGTGTTTGTTGTGGGGGAGGAAGGGAAAGGAGAATGTTAGCCGCTTTGAGACTCCTTAGGGTAGTGATAAAGCAGGATACCAAATCCAAACTCTTCTTCTTCTTCTCTTCTTGTTGATCGTGTTTCGTTCTCTACAGAACGATCTTGCCCCAAAGAAAGTCTTGAACTTGCCCAATATTCATGAAGATGCCCAAATCCAGCTTGCAGCTGCTCCTTCTTGCAACTTGTCACCACAGGGCTGCGGAG